GGCTCGACTTGGACAGAGCATGTATGCAGTCGATTTCGAAGTTGAATGTCGACCCAAGACATTTCCTTTCCTCAGGGAAAGTACACGGGGAAGAGAACCTGTTCTTCTACATACTTATGTACATATGTAGGCATAATAGGTAGGCATAATGCAAAGTTGGTTGTTTCTCTGTGACGTATGTACGTGTAATTCCGTCGAAAGGTGGTTGCGAACCACGAGAGAACGGTGTCGCGTTCTAGCGTCCGAAGGGGACGAGTATTGTTTCTCGCGTGTACTTTGCTAAAGGGTCGATAATTGGCAGCTCTTAAGATTCATGGCCCGTTTTTCCTTTCTCGGGGAGGAAAGTTAATGGGCCCAAACGAATCCGAGACCGGGGATAGAAAACCGTGCTTGACCGTGTTTGGTAAAAAACACGAGGGAAACCCGACACCTAATATTCTCGTAGTCGTCGGAATAGAGTCGAGTGGATTTGGCTTGGTCGCTCGACATTCTCGACAGACACTCCCGACACTCCCGGCACTCTCGACCGTTCCCTCGATCGCGCCACCCTTCTTTCATCGAGACGATCCTCCACGCTGATCCGGCAATAGGGAAATGGCGAATACACATCACGCTCTATGTTTTCGATGACGCGTCGTCGTGTGGTCGTAGGTCCGTTTCCGGTTACGGTTTATGGCTCGTGGTACGTACATATATCCTTCCCCACTCCTCCCCTGTGCACCTACTCGAAAGACCGAGGCGAGGCATTGTTTCCTTCTTCGAGGCGTTGCTAATGATCCAACCGCGGCGGGCTACGTTTCTTTTCTATTCTTTTTTTTTCTCCTCCGAGAGGTAAGCAGCCCGCTTGGATATTTGCTTTTCTTTCCTTCCTTCCTTTCTATCCCGTCTTGCTTTCTATCCCGCAAGCGGATAACGTATTTACTCGTACGTTAGTTGAATTCATGTACATATACATACATACGTCAGTTGGTGAATCTTTTACGATAAAGCCCAACCATCTTTTATACGGTCCCGTAAAATTTTACACCGATCGACGCGGATTAAATGGGACGACGAGTAGCGATCTAGAAGCTTGCTTTTTAACCACGTTCGAGATAAAGAAACGAAGAGCCATTGAGATAAACGAGGGTTACCGACCGCCTCCGTACCTCTCGCGTCTTCGTACATGCACATATAGGTAAGTACCTACACGTGTACTCTCACCCGGTATATTCCGTTGGTCCTAATCTTATTCCTAGAGCGTACGAGATCGAGTAGCCACCAAGATGAAACAAAGTTTAGGAAAACAAATGCTCGTGTGCCGCGGGGTCGCGTGCCAGCTCGTATCGGCTCTTATCGGAATTATCGCTTTCTATCGGTCCGCAGAGGTAATTTGGCGTGCTACACGCTGTTATACTCCTTCCGTTACGACTCTCACGGTCGGTCGGTGGGTGATCGAGTAGCGTTCTTCTCGTCTACAGTGTTCTGCCGTTTCGCGTCCAACCACCTGGTTGGTCTCTCTCTCTTATCACGTAGAAAGAGAGAGAGAGAGAGAGAGAGAGAGAGAGAGAGAGAAGCTATTCGCTGCGAGGTAGGCGATTCGATTTCTTCGTAAGGGACATTTACTCATCCTACAATGGCGTGGCTGTTCTTTCGCGGTGTGCACCGTTTAAACATGCTTTTACAAGGACCGATCGGATCGTTACCCTTCTTCCCTCTTCTTTCGCTCGAATCTTTTACGTCTCCCGACGTAAGGAGACTCGAACCGAAATGTTCGGCGAAGAATCGTGAACAAAAGGATAGTTGAAACAGGAGACGGAGTAAGAAAAAGCTGCTAAAGAGAGAGAACATGAGAATAAGAAGAAGGAGAAGGGGGTCGAGATAAAGGGACTATTCAATCTTTGAAAATCTCGTCGTAAAACGCATCGATGTACGCCGTCTTGGCCGCTTACGTTGCGGATAACAGTGAGCGTTTTTATGGGGCCAAGAAGATAAGAGTAACCTCTGACCCTGTTGTACAAAACGTCTTCCGCTCGACCAACGAGTCGGAATCTCTGTTCTCGCTACCGCTTCTATGGAGACCGTTAACCTCGTTTCTTTGGCTGACGGCATTGTGAGAATCGCAGCGAGCCACGATCGGTTTGCTGATTCAAATATCGTCGCCGAGATTTTACTCGGCTGCTTTCTTTCTATCTGTAAATACAGCCGGATAGAGGCTGAGAGAGGGGCGGGGGAGAGAAAGAGCGAGAAGCGGTAAAACTGAGGCAAAGTGAAATATTTTTGGTATAATTTTTGGAATGGTTGTTACGGGTCCGATAACAACGACGCTGAATCGAAACGAATGTGTAGCCGAGTTAGGGGGGAGAGGGAGAAAGGTCAGGAATAGGTTCGAGTCCGATGGTACGGAGTCGGTTTCGCAACGCGAGCGAGAAAGAGGTTTCTCGGCGCGGCGCGGCGCGGCGTGCCGCGTATTTTCTTGGCCGAGAGTGATTAATCGGGGTCGTGGCTCCTACGTCTCCGCGACTTTGCACCGCGCCGCGCCGCGCCGCGCCCTCACTCCGCTCGATTAGACTTGATTCGATTCGCAACAATGGTGCCTCGGTTTCGATAAGACGACACACGGTCGATCGAACCGTGTCGTCTCGCGACGTTCAATTTACGCATACACGTACCAAGTACCTATTGTCTACTAGCTGGCGAAAGCACACGCGGCTGCGTCGTGTTTACACGGCAGGGAGGATTCGCAGTCGGAATTTACTTCGGACGAAAAATATGTTTTTTTATAGAATTCGCCACGGAGCGAACGGTCAGATAATACAGCGAGCCTGACCTTTCCAATTCGATTAGGTAACGTCAATAAGGTCGGTTGAATGTTAAACGTCTGATACAGTGTCTTTGGGGGAAAGATATCGTTTGGGCCAATCGTCTCTGTCTACGAGCATCGCCGATACGCAGATGTTTAGCTGTCATCTCTTCTATCGTCAAAAATTACCTATTTTTCCCACCCCGCCGTCGCCTTTTTTTAGTTTTCAGCCGTGGCTACGACCGCCGCTACGACTTCCATCTTTCTACGTTTTTGCAGTGGAACGAGCAGCGTTGTTCGATAAGGAGATGCGTCGATAAGATGCGACCCGATTGGAAGAGAACGAACAGCTGGCATAGAAAGTGGTAGAAATGAAAAGCGCGATACGTATAGTATGTAGATTTTTGATAATTGGCAGATCGAAGAAACTGCCACTTTGTGACTATCGGTCGCCTAACTAAATAGGTTAGTTTTGCTCGGTTCTCGAGTTGGAAATTGGGAAGGCGAACGAGAACGAGAACGGGAACGGTACGCGACGCGAGGCACAAACGCGAGACCGTGAACGAGGAGAATATGTACACGCGAGTGCGCACGATTGCTAACGAGCGATAGATAACGACGATGACCGGTTATTTTTATAACATACCGGCTAGCAACAGTTTGCTCGTGTCGTCGTAACGCGTCGAGGGCGATACTTTGGATCTAATCGATCCAACGTTTCCAAAAGTCCCCGATTCCCACGGCAGGAGTTTTTTTTTTTTCGAAAAACCGCGGTTATTGTTGGATCGATCGGAGGAATTGCCGCGGTTTTGTCCAGTTTGAATAAACGAATCGATTGGACGTGATTGTTCGCAGAGTTAGCCGATTACGTGGATGAAGAGAACGCGGCGGCGAGGGCCATGGAGGTCGTTGGAGAGAGTGTCGAAGGTGAGAACGAGGAGGGAAGGAGCAAGAAGAGGGTGAGCGGAGAGGCCGCGGAGCTTTTTCAACGACGGCAACAACAACTCGAGCAACAGCAACGGCAGCAGCAGCTAGCCTACGGAAAGCGTGGAGGCGAAGAAGGCGGGGACGTCGTGGGCGTGCTGGAGGCGGGACAGCAGGAAATTGAAAATGGCGCGGTCGTGGAGGCGAGCAGCGTGGAAGCGGTAACGATGCCCGTTTCAGCGGACCAGGAAAACGACGGCAGCGCCGACTACGGATTGAACTCGCTCAGCTACGAGCGAATAGACGACGAACCTGTTTTTCGGGCAAGGTAAGAGTGTACACCGATAAATAGCGTACACACGCGAATAGAATTGGGGAAAATTTGTGGAAAAAGCTTTTGAAAATTCACGGCGTTAATTATCGCAGGCGTTAATTGTTGTCAAGGTGTTACATGGAGGAGAATTCGAGCGGCTACGGGGGCGGTGATCCAGGCAGCGATACGACCGAGCAAGAGGAACAGCAACAACAAGAGCAACAGGTTTCACAACCGCCCCACCAGCAGCACCACCACCACCGCCACGGACACCAGCAGCAGCAGCGGCCCGAATACGTTCAGTTGGGGGCGAGAGTAGTATCGGTTCCCGAGGGTGGTGGGGGTAACGGACCGACGAGCGAGGTCTCCGCGTTGCCGGAGGAAAATCGGGCCGACAGTCACGCGCTTCGCTCTACGATGCATCGTTACGGTACTGAAGCGCTCTCGCCAACTGCGACCGATCATCACAACCACCACCATCACCTCCACCACCACCCTCTCCACCACCTCCATCATCGCCAGCAGCAACAGCAGCAGCAGCAGCAGCAGCAGACGCAGCAGCAGCACCACCACCACGATCATCATCAACAACAGCAGCAGCAGCCGCACCACCACCACCATCACCATCATTTACAGTCGGACGCGTCTCAGCATAGCGTGCTTTCTTCTTCGTCGAGTCATCGTCAGTTGGACGAGCGAGGAGCACAATCGCAAACACAGTCGCATCAAGAAGTGGACGAAGACGTGGATAGAGTGAGTGGAATCATGAGGGGAGCCCGTGGAGATTTTCCTCTTGGTATGTTGTTTCCAAACCTCGGTACCGCCGGCACCAGTAGTCCCGCCAGTAACGACGTCGGGACTAGCGAGAATCATCATCATCACTCTTACCATCATCATCATCATCACCATTTAGAGGAGGTATTGCCGGACGAGGCGTATCTTCAGCATCAGATAAGGGGCGGTGGAAGTAGCAGCGGGAACGGTGGTGGCGGAGGTGGAGCCGGAGGTAGTGGCGGCGGCGGTACGGAGAACAGCGGTGGCGGTGGATCTCCGAATTTGCGAACCGGTAGTTCACCGGGTTCCAGTCGCAGCCCGCACGACGAGCAAGGACTCTCGTCGCCGCACCGACCAGGGCAAGCGGACGGAGGATACAGTCCCAGCGATCAGGGCAGACAGTCGTACGCGCATTTGACAGCTATGCAGCCACCGTCCGCGGTGCAGGCGAACCACGGCATCAGCCAGGATGCCGGCGACCGCGTCTCCGATCAGCTTTACATGGATTCGATTTACGCTCATCACACGGCTGGGACGCCTCATCACCATCAGGAACACGAGACGGGTTCGCCGACTACTCATTCGCCCAGTGCAGCGCTTTCCAAGTTAGTGGTTCAGTTTTGTTCTCATGATAATTCTCGGCGAACGATACACGGAGGGA